CCTCCCCTCAAAACTCGGTTGAGCGTGACGTTCAATCCCGGTATTGACGCGATTTAGGATGAGAATATTTTTGGCTAAATGTCGCGCTTACCCTCTCGCTCTATTAGAAAATGCATGATTAACCATTGATAGAATTTTTCAATACCTTAAGTCTTTTTTACCCAGGGTCGCGCTGCAATTTATTGTAAATTGTAAGCTTTTTTATATAGCACGCAGCCTGTTGCAACGTCGCCTGCGCAAATTCCGCGCTATGTACGGATCTAAAGAATGACGATGAACAAGCAACTAGATCAAAGACGGCAGCAATTACTCATTCAACATCTGGCCATCACATCATGGTAGGTTAGCATGATATGTAACGATCTCGATAAAGGCTCTGCACGAATTCCAGCATATGAGTGCTTTCAATGTTGCTCACGACCAGCATAACAATGGGCTTCCACAGGAAAATCTTTTATCTGCTGCCACCTTTCACGTATCTAATCCGATGCTCGTTAAAACTGCGCAGTCGGCTTGCCGAAGTAATGTCAGTTTTCAATCTTTGTTTGAGAAGGAAGAGAGGTGTTTTGAATTTTGTCAGTTGCCAACTTTGAAAAAGATGTTCAGTAGACGACTCTTTCTAGTAGAATAAAGGCTATGCGGCTAGTTAACTAAAGTGCTCCAAAGTTGTTTTATTTTTTTATTTTTTCACCTCTTCGAATTTATCATGTCGAAATGAAACCAAAATAAAAGTACATAATCAAAAGTGCTTTCAGCACGCTAACACTTCCAGTGTTGATTGGGGAGATTGCCCTCGAGTAGTTCAGTCAACTAGCAGCCGCGCATCCAATCTTATTTACAGTGAAAGCCCACAGTCGGAATCTTGTCAAAGCACAGTATGTAGATGGATTTTAGGAAAGAATTTAGTCACGTATGACCCTCTTTAGGATTTGGAAAATGTCTGTGAGCGGCCTGCGGAAATTTGCTTATGTAGACCCATCGTCAAAGGAAATTCTGCACAGTTATTATCAAGGCAGAATATGGTAGGTTTATGTTGATTGTGAAGATTCTGATGTAGTTATCAATATGTTTTCAAGGATGTGCCTTTTAACTTTATCCACGAAGAATCCTCTCAGGTAGAACAAAAATCTAATGCCGATTTATATGCATCTGATCCTATGTTGTTACGAACTGCGAAGTCGGCTTCAGTCCAAAATGTTGTTAGTTCTTTCATTATCATTATGCAGTCTTAGAAGCGATCAAAACTGTTCCAGGATAGAGATACTGCAAGTGTTCTTTTCGATGGACAATCTGGAGATACTGAAGTAATCAATGCTAACGTGCATGCGATAAATCCCATGCAGGTTATTGTACTGTCTGCTTCTCAGCAGATTATAATCTTAGAATTTGCTTGATATGCAAGGACTTTTTTCAGCGTTTGTGTGCATCTGAGATTGCTTACGAGGAAAAACTGTTACCGGAAAAAAGACTGTCCAATGCCGATTTGCACGGCTACAATGCTACGTTGGGAAAACCCGGAAAGTCGTCTTCACGAGAGAGCATTGTGAGTTAATTATTTCCTCAATAAGAAGTCATTAGAGTTAGTTAGTTTAGCAAAAAAATGCTCTGAGCGTCGTTCGTGACGAACCTCCTCGAGATATTCGCCTATCCAACGCCAGTCTTCATTCGTCCAATCCCATGCTGACACGTATTCAATCGCATTCACAGCAGAGCATCGTAAGTTTCCGTATCCAAAATTTACTTATATAAAGAGAAAAATAATGGATATAATAACCATTTTCAGGAACAGGACTCTTATGTCCCTTACGAAAATCCTGCAGAGGTCATTGCCTCTGACAAACAACCTGAAAACCCTCCAATGAGGATTAGCATGGTAATTTTTTAGCAATCAAAGTGAGATAGCGTCAATTCGAGATTGCACAAAGCAGCGCTTGAAGGAGGAACCTGTATCCCACTCTCTTCGCAATTATCACATTCGAAAGCTGACTGGTTCAACAAGTCATTTGTTTTGTTTTGTTAGAATACCTAGCTAAGAATGTGCATATTTGGACCGTTTCAATTGGGAGATCTCCCAAGGTGTCGTGCACGTCGCTAAGCATATCACAGATGGCTATCTGTGGCCATAAAGCAAATTTCTGGCAGTGGTCACTTTTCCGACTTTGCTGCGTTCCCTGCACATTCTAACTCTGTGTGGACGCATGCGACGACATTGTTAGTATCTAAGCCTCCACGCCTACAAGGTGAACATCGGCACAAGCCACTTCTCAAAAGCAGCAGTGCAGAATTCATTGTTAGATCAATCCTAGCTTGAAATGTATCCACGTTTTCCATCTTAACTGCTCTAAAAGCATTTGTAACGTTGGGAAATTTGCATGATGGCTGTTTTTATTTCATGCAAAAAACCTCTAAACTAAGGTCTATCCACTAGTGCAATGTAGTCGACTTGACCTATAATCTGTGGCAGCCGGGCTATCCTCACACATTGACGTAGATTCCTAATTACATTTGTGACAATCAACTACGACTTGCAAAATCTGCAAATGAAATCCGGCTTCTATTCGGGTCCTGACACGAAAATAACATATGGAAGTTGAAGTTATCATTTAATAGTTGCCATGACTCGTCTTCAAAATATACATTGCGTCTGTGTAGTATTTATTTGCCGTACAGGTTTCCTAGCGATCTTGCTTCATTCTAGAGGCAATACCTTCAATTGATGGAATAAAAACTACCTACCAAATCTGTACGACAAAGAAGTAAAGTTTTTTGTTGTTTTCGTTCGAACGTTTCAACTTAGGCACTTTTGCAGCTACTTTCTTGTTCAACTTTCATGCTCCTGTTCCTCATTATGAAATCCACTCCAAGATTTGGCATAGTTGCGTTAAGTCATCAATGTTATTTGTTATGATGTTCGTCTTGTAGGCAGGCTTAGTTATAGTTATACGCAGGGTTTCTGAAGCGTTTTGCATAACATCCTTGTTAGTTAAATCAGCACTTCATGTACTCCGCTTAGTTGAGTCTGACATGAAGGCTACGCTTTGCTGACAACTGTCATAGATACGCTGTTTGCTCGTTCTTGAAGTTTTATTGGATGCTTAGTGAATATTCTTAAATGCGTGAGTGCACACTTGTGTCAGTTATCGCGGAGATTTGCGTCGCAATCGATCGCGTTGTTCCAAGTATAGCTTGGCACTATATAGCCAACTCTACTTCGCGAAAACATCGCTTGTTCTGCACATTACATCAACTATTTTTCAGGCCAGCAACTCGCCAATTACTAGACCAATTTCTTGTTGCAGTGCAGTAAGTGTCAGTTTTGATAGTTTTATTGTCATCTTGAGCTTATAATCTGATCTCCATTTGACAAATTGATGAAGTCAAAATCATGTTACTTCTAGCATTCGGACTTGAACAACAATAATAACGAGACAATGCGTACTGCGCAGTGTGTTAGCTCAAATGAGATAGATGAAGTAAGTCGAGTATTCAAAATTGCTCCATGAGGTTAAATTAACTCCTCTCCTCCCCTCTCCTCTCCCTCCACCCTCCCCCTCCCTCCCTCCTAAGAAAGAGCTTGGT